TACAGAGCAGAGATTTTGGAAGCAATCAAACTGTTTTCTTAATGTTGTTGTTATTTTGGACAAACACAGTTTTAATTACCTGATTATCTCTTTTGTTAATAAAATTAAAAAAGTAAAAAACTTCCACGGCTTTGGTGAGCTAGAGCTAACGTCTCAGAAAGTGTTGCTCTGTCCGGCCAACACATCAAAACTTAAAGGTTTAATGATTGAACATGGAAACTCTGAATTAAAAATTATGCATTAAAACTTATTAATTATGAACAGGCACTGGAAGATTTGTCAGGATTTGCACATGCAGAGAGGAGTGGCTGAGTGAACTCTATGTACTACCAGTCAAAAGTTTGTACACACCTTCTCATTTAATGTTTTTTCTTTATTTTCATGACTATTTAAACTGTAGATTCTCACTGAAGGGATCACAACTAAGAATGAACACATATGGAGTTATGTAGTAAACAAAAACGTGTGAAATAACTTGTGTTTTATATTTTAGATTCTTCAAAATAACCGCCCTTTGCTTCCATTACTGCTTTGCACACTCTTGGCCTTCTCTCAATGAGTTTCATGAAATGGTTTTCCAATAGTTTTGAAGAAGTTCCCAGAGATGCTCAGCATCTTGCTGGTCCTTTTGCCTTCACTCTGCGGTTCATCTAATCCCAAACCATCTCCTGTGCCTTCAGTTTTGAATAAGTTCCCCAACAGTGTCACCAGCACAACACCCCCACACCATCACACCTCCTCAATGCTTCACAGTGGGAACCATACATCTAGAGACCATCAGTTCACCTTTTCTGCGTTGCACAAAAACACGGCAGGTGGAACCAAAGATCTTAAATTTGGACAATGAGACCAAAGCACTGGTCTAATGTGTTTTGTGCTAATTTTGATAATTGTATTTCAAACAAATCTCTTCTGCTTGTTGTTGCTGCTTGTATTAGTTTCTTAGCAGCTATTTGACCATAAAGGCCTGATTTGCGAAGTCTCCTCTGAACAGTTGATGTACAGATCTGTCTGCTACTGGAACTCTGTGTGGCATTTATCTGGGCTCTAATCTGGGTTGCTGTTAACTTGTGATTTCTGAGGCTGGTCAGATGAATTTATCCTCAGCAGCAGAGGTAACTCTTGGTCTTCCTTTCCTGGGCCAGTCCTCATGTAAGCCAGTTTCATTGTAGCGCTTGATGGTTTTTGCAACTGCACTGCATTCAAAGTTTAGTTATTTTCCGGACTGTCTGACCTTCAGTTCTTAAAGTAATGAGAAGGTGTGTCCAAACTTTTGACTGGTAGTGGATGTAGCATCTTTAACAATCCTTAAACCATCAGCTGGGCCCGATTCCAAGAAGCAGGCTTAGTAAACAACTTTGAATTTGTTAACCCTAAATTGAAGGAAACACTGTTTTCCCCCCCTGAACGACAGGTAACTTCAACTCTGAGTAGTTACCATGGTTACCAAGTTTCTCTCTCTGACTCCTCCCCTCTTGATATGCACAGTTTAATTTCTCCTTCATAAAGTCGCTGTCAAAGTGCACAACGCAGCAAATTCATTCACAGAAGAGGGCATGGTTAGTTCACTGTTTTCTGTACGTAACATAACAGCGATTACATCTTAGACTTATTGTCAGTTCAGATTTAAATCTATAGACTCGGTCTTTCTAAAGCTGAATATCTGTGAACAGTAATGCAGCTGTCACACTGTCAGTCAGTTTGCCCACACTTTAAACATTTGCTGCAGCAATCACTGTTTAAGTTATCAATCATGTGTTGTTCTGTAATCAGTCACATTGATGGAAAAATGGCTGAGAATATCTGATTGAAGATGAGCGTGAAATGACTAAAACTGAGTTCAATGGTTTTTTTACAGTGACGTTTAAGGATGCGCTCAGATAACCATCATGGATTCAGACTGGATCAGGTCTGGATCCAGCTCATCTCCTCCAGATCCATTCATTGTGGCTTAATTTGTCCCGATACAATCTGTATTCCTTATTTAAAGAGCCTCACCCTCCCAGAATTACACTAAAATATCTCAAATCTATCTGAACATCATGTAAACAGCTCTATAAAAGCTGAGACATTTCTAAAAACGTGTTTGTCCATGCTAACATGCAAAGTCTTACTATCAGGCTACCAGTAACTGAGTAAAACATCTCTACTGTTGCCGTAAGAGAGCCATCATCTATCACTGAAGGCTGATATTACATAAAATTACGAACGCTTACACTGGGGAACATTAAAGCACAGTTTTTCCTCTAAATTTAATTAAAAACTTTTATTCAGTAATGGCAGACATAATGAAATCCTCTGTGAAAAATGAAATTCTTACAGCGCATCAGTACATTAAATTTTTACTGAATAATTATTGGGAAAAAATGTAATGATTATAAACTGCTGCAATAACTGTTTTTTTTACTGAACCAAAACTGACTTGAGGGCAGACTGTCTGTTGCCGTCTGGGTTACTAATCTCACAGGTCCATCAGTAAAGTGTGGCTCGTCTGTTTCTCCAGATTTTTATCTTCCCGGACATCTCCTAGATTTTGTCCCTGTCAGGGTACAGCTGAATCATTAGGGTTAAAAATCAGAACTATAGCTTCATCTAATGAAAGTTTGCTAAATAAACACCGCAGTCAGTACAGAGAAGTTAGATATTTCATATCGAACATTTATATTGTGCATGATGATGACAGAACGGCCCGTGGCTCAATAAAATGACTCTTTCCGCACTTCTAAAAGGACTAAAAGGAGGCTCTCTTGTTTACCTGTTGCCGTGGTGAATCTGCCCTCTTAAAGTAAAAGAGGTCAATTTTAACATTTTCATTTAAATGTATCCAGCTAATGATTTTATTAGACTGAGATTTAAAGCGGATGACTTGTTCAATGAAAAGAAAAGATAAGTTTTTAATTAACAATTCAATTTTCATTGGGGGGGGGGGGGGGGGGGGGTTATCACAAATGCATCAATAAACCTGACCTGAATTACTGACAGAATGATCTGAAGCCGTTTAGTAAGTCTATGAAGGTTTTCTGGAAATGAAGACTCAGAGTTGATTATTAAACTCACAGCTTTGTGAACAGTGACCTAATAAGATGAGTTGCATCTTTTGTGTATATATTTCTATGTGATGTTATTAAGTCAACCATTAAAATGACCCTTGTTTTGTAATGTGATGCCTGTGAATTAGGTTAAACATTGCAGGTGTAAATTCTGAACTATGACCTTACAATTTGCCTGGTAAATTATTACACTGCTGGTTACTTAAAGGCTCACTTCTCAATTCGTTTTTCAGTCTAATGAGATCAGAAGACACGATCAGTGTTTTCCCCAACAGTGCTTTAGTAGAGTATGTATCTGTGAACATGCTTACATATGAGTTCACCTGGTAGCAGGAGAGCAGTGGTGGTGTGGGGCTGAGGCCGAGCCTTCTTGGTCACACCATCACCCCCGCAGATGAGGATTGTCTCTGTGGGAGGCGAAGATGACGGATCCATAGGGGTGCAGTCCGGTTCTTTGGCTGGAGCCTCCATGTTCACTTTGGCACTCATGACGGCGTCCCAGTGTGTTGTGCTGGAGCACTGGGAGACACAGCGTGAGAAATAGCACAAAGTAATGCTGTCTGGTTATCGGGTAACAGCTTTAACATTGTGTGTTAAAGATTTATAGAGGAGACTGTACCCAAAACCTGAGGAGGGAGTGCCACAGTATGGACGGGAGAGTAATCCCGCCAATTTAAGCTTTCATTTTTATGTTGTTTCTTGTTTTTAAATATATTTCTTTATTGGAATATGTCTGATTTAGAGGCATATACAAAATTCAAATCTTAAATTATTATAATATTATTTTCTGCTGTCTTGAAACATCTCTTTTTAATTTACCACATTAGCACCGCTTTTATCATTCAACAAAATACTATTTATCCAAAGTACAGGACAGAGTTAAAATTTTACTTTAAAATTTAACTACATTTCACCCTCCAAAAAATCTTCCTCTAAAAGTGTTTCCAATAAGGCAAAACAGCCATGAACTTTTATAAGCCATGCATTCCTTTCAATAATAAAAGAATAATGGTGACACACCAATATTTACGCGCAAGCTCCCAAGTCTACACACACACACACACACCGACAGACTAAAATACAGCATTTCAGTTAAAATGGCGGAGGATCTGAAATCCTTGAGGCAAAAAATGTGCTAAAGCAGAGGCTCAATTCCTGTGAAAATCCCATTTAATGAAAAAAGCAACCTTATCGCCCATTCCGGCAATATCTTTAATGAATGAGCAACATTTTCTCCTCATAACAGCGTTAAGTGTGCCGGGTATTTTTGAAACCTTGGCGCAACTGCTTTAAATTTAAAATTTGTATTTAAACCTGCTACGTCAAAGATCCGCGAGCCATTATCAAATGTATATATTAAAGATGATAAGCTTTGTGCTTGATTACATCTCTGACGCCAAAAACGGTTTACCTCGGTGAGGGGAGAAAAAAAAAGAAACAACTGACTGGCGGGTTTCTTTTTAAACCCAGTGTGACTAAAATATGCTTCTGCCTTCTATAATTAGAGGAAAGTTCTAAAATTTGATTTTAATTCGTGTTTTCAGATTTCAGGAACTGAAATTTGGCTTACCAGCTCTGATCTCCTGCGGCTCCGGGGCTTGGACTGCGCATGCGCGGGACCACAGTACAGTCACCGCTCGTTGGCTATAATTTAACGCCAAAAGAAAGACTTCCAGTGCGTCGCTCCACTTTCAGTAATGGTCGATAGGTGAAAAAAAAAGTGCTCCCTCGATTAGCTGCAAAAGCGTAAAATAGCTGCTGTAACGATTTTTATTTGGCATGCGAGCGAAATGTTCCCGCTTACATCCATAAATACGCGCTCTGCTCATTTCCTCCACAACTGCAGCCTATAATGAGCGAGCGTTTATTATATAATTAGCAGGATATAGGTCATGTCAATACTGCAGTCAAGGTTTTTATAATCCAGACAAAACAACGTCAGGCAGCAAGTTTATTTTTTAATGAAGATCTTTTATTGAACATAGCATAAAAAAGGACTTTTTCCCCATTAGATCTCATACATGTTGGGGGAGAAAAAAAAAGTCAGTTCCACAAGATGGAGAATGTGGCTGAGTTCAGCAAGTCTGATGTTTACAGACTCACAGGAGTTCTGAACACATGGACCTTTCAAGCACAAAAACAGTACTAGCTGCAAACTTTAAATAAGGCTTTCCAAAACCCTTAAGTCTGTTCTGAAGCTGGGGAGGGAAAACATTACCAGGGAAGCAATCGGCGCAATGGAAGAATCTGAGGAAAAACAGGACGCTGCAAAGGAGTCTAGTCAAACTGAAAATCAAAAACTAAAATAAAGGCCCTTAATAGATTACCTGCTTAATGTTACCAACCTCCTCCCCCCAAAAAGCTACCAAAAGATTGCTTTGTGCTGATTACTCTATGTACAAGTAGTTAAAAGGGATCAAAATAATCCATCTACAATGCAAGTTACTCAAAAGTGAAGTCCAAACCCTCATCTTTAAATTAAGAAGTTCTGCACTACAAGCTCTTACATCCTGAATATGCATCGTTTAACACGAAGACAGACTGATTCCTCGAAGAATGTGACCGAATGTGCAGGTCAACTCAACTGCTCCAGTCCTGGAGCCTACTCTTCAACAATCATGCGAGCTTGAAAGAGTACGACACAAAATAATTACCAATCAAAGATGGATGCTTCAGACATAAGAGGCCTGGAGACACAAGGAAAGCAAACTGTCAGACTACCAACCAAAACAAACAGCTGCAAACTGAATAAAAGAACATTTAAGACAACTTAATATTCACTGACCAAACAAACAACTTGAAATGAAAGCAGAACAGTAAGAAACCTAAATTTTACCAAATCAGGCACCAGTCACAGAGACATCAACTTCCTCAGGCTATAGTTGTAGAGCCCAGCACCCATTTTCATTAATCCAAAATTCTTAATTTTATTTGTAAACTTTATTTTTTTAATTTTTATTTTTTTAAAGGGAGCAGATCATCTGAAACAAGTTCAAAAAGCATCGGCTGTATTGTGGTTGATGGTCTAATAAACTCCTGCTTTAACAAGTTAAAAGACAAATGTACATTTGAAGGGGGGCGTCAGAAGCATAAACCAGTTATTAAACACTGCTCAGTATGTACAGCATAATGATCAAGCTAAACAATAAGAAAACCTCTCCCTTCTCTACACCCACTAATCCTGAGAAGCTGATCTAGACCGTGAACGAGACCTGGAGCGAGACTTGGAGCGAGACCTGGAGCGAGACTTGGAGCGAGACCTGGAGCGAGACTTGGAGTGAGACCTGGAGTGAGACTTGGAGCGCTTTTCTCTGGACTGGGATCGGCACTCTTCCTCTTGTGGAGATGGGGAGCGAGAGGCAGATTTGGCCACATGCTCTTCTTTTCCATTCTCTACTGGAGAGGGTGAGCGGCTGCGGGACTTCTTCTCAGCAGACCGTTCCTTTGATCGGCTACGAGAATCCCTCTCCGACTTTACCTTAGAGCGGCTCTTTGAACGAGACTTGGACTTGTGCTCGGGGGAGTGAGACCGAGATTTGCGAGAGCGTGAACGAGATTTGGATTTGTTGGATCTGTTGGATCTAGAACGAGATCTGCGAGAACGTGATTTGCGGTCTCCTGACTTGGAGCGAGACTTTCTCTCAGACCTGGAGCGGGAATGATGCCGTCTCTTATTGCTGCGGGAACGAGACCTATAGGAACAGAAGCAAAGCTCAGTACAGCCCCACCTTACATGACAGCAATGTCATGACAAAATGTCATACTGAACATACAGAACTTATCAATACCAATAATTTAATTTAAATCTCCATGTTACGGTTCCAAGATTACATTGATCCTAACCTCGAGTGGGATCTGGAGCGACTCTTTGAGCTCCTGTGGCTTCTGCTTCTCCTGCTACGGGAGCGACGACGACTGCGAGATCTGAAGATGACAGAGCACGATTTAAAATTTTTTTTTTTTTTACATCAGTTTCTTGTTAAATAAACAAAATGTACCAAAGCGAGGCTCATCTTAAAGCAGTCAGCAGTAAGAAATTTGCTTACCTGGAGCGACTGCCAGAGTAAGACCGACGTCTGCGAGGACGGTCCTCCACCAGGCGAATTTTCCGCCCGTTGATGTCAGTACCATCCAGCTTGTCCAGAGCCCTCTTCATGTCGGAATAAGTCCGGAACTCAATCACTCCCTCATTGGTGCGTTCCTTGTGGGCATCTGCATAGGTCACCTCTCCTGCCTGACGCATGAAGTCCTGGTGGACAGGAAGAGGATGAGGTGCCGATTATTGATTTCATTCCAAGCACTTCTACAATACACTTTCCCTTTATCTGAAGATTCCCCTCTCTTATTTTCAAATATTTACCTTGAGGTCCTGCCAACTACAGCGGCTGGATAAGTTCTCCACAACGAGGCGGTACTCTGTGCGGACTGGCGGTCCATATTTGTCCCTGCCAGAGCGGCTGCGGCTGCTGTAACCGCTACCTTTATAAAAAAACAACAAAAAAAAAAAACGACAGCACACACAAATAGTTAGAAACCACTAAACCAAACAAGATTCAAAGTACTACTGCTCTGGGCTATCAAATGCACTCAAGGCAGTGAGTTTCCAGATTATTGTCCTTGGGGTGGGGGTGGGTTAAATTTGTACAAATAGTCAAAGGGGTTTCTTTGATCTCATTTTCAAACAGCTTCAGTTAAGTGCTCTACAAGCAACTGCATGGGCTCTTTAAAGTTTGTATTTTTCAACATTTGGAAGCTGTTTTCTGCTGCAAAGAACACCACTGCATCTGTTTCCGGCAATACAAAAAACACAAATCAGCATCTGTCTTACTCCAGTACATCACTGTGATGCTATAGCTGCATAAAACAAATGGACAGTGATGTTCTTTCAAGACCTGTGTATCCTGTAACACAAACAGAAAGGAGGCATCCACAAAGGCTGCAGTCAGGGACACTGTTCAAATTGATTACGGTGTTAAAAACACACCGATCTTTTGAAAATTGGCATCTTTTTATTTAACCGGATGTCAGTCTGAAATTCTTTTTTCCAGTTTTGATCTTACAACATTTCTTTAGATTGTAAGGTCTGTAAAGGTGCCGATCCACTTATGTTTGCTGTCAACATAAAAACCAATGGCAATCCTCACCATCACCCCTGGTCTATTGGCAAAAGGCTGCTGTCATCATGGCTTCCGGTTAGGTCAGCCAAGGATCAAGGGGGGGCAAAGGTCACACACACATTGTAAGGTGAAAGCCAAGGCCAAACGGGACAGGCAGTCATCTTAGCCAGTCATCTTTAGCCTCAATGGACTCTCAGCCTCAGCCCGCAACTGGACTCTTTCAAATTGAAACATCAAGGACTTTTGTTAATGTTGAATATAAAAAAAAATTTATATATAGACCAAAGTTAAAACACATTTCACATGAAAACGTTAGTCTACTCCTAATGACTACACTAACTAGGTAGCTATGTATGTGGTGATTTGTGTTCAGCTTGTTTTTTTCCCCCTCTGGTGCAAACAAAAATAAAAATAAAAAAAGACCTTCACATGGCTCGCCCAAATGACAGTTATGGTTCAAGTGAATTTTACAATGTATGAAAAGAAAACTATGTTATTTAACAACACTAAACTCTAGACTCAAAACTGCTCTTTAAATCTCACAGATTGTTGCCCCTTGCAATCAAATAGCATGTAGCTCGTGATGATAATCACTATGGAGGAGCAAAAACCTGCAGGTCACTACCCCTTGGGTGACAGACTGAGAACTGTTCAGCAGGGTGATATAAAATTAAACTGGACTCCCTGATTTGTAAGAATGAAGATAAACCATGGTTGCATGTAATGAAGTTACTGCGTGATATAATGAACAACATCTCTACTGACAGTCCTACAACTTTGCATGCAACCTGCGCCTTAAAGAGCTACCCACGTGGCTGGCTATAACCCATGAGGGGTACCTGGAAAAACCTGATCGAGGGCCAGCTGAGTATCTAAACCTATGCGGCAAGTCTGTTAAAATTAGCGTAACCATGAATCATTCAAACAGCTGTCTGTGCAGTCCACGTCGACACCTCACCCCAAGGGGAAGGGGAAGAGAGGGTATCTTGTAATAGACTGCACTTACTGCGCCCACCACCCCAGTAACCCCCACCGTAGCCATCTCGGTCTCGTCGCGGGCCCCGGGCATGCTCGACGATCACCCGCTCCCCACACAGCTCCTTCCCGTTTAGCTCGTAAACGGCGTCGTCGGCGTCCCTATTATCTTCGAACTCCACGAATCCATACCTGCAAAAAGAAAGGGTTTAAAAGCATGAGTATGAAATGAGCGTTACCCGCTTACTTCCACGAATTAGCGTTAGCATACGTTAGCACAGCGACGTGCAAAGTATAAAGACGCCATGTTGGCCACGCGACATTTGCTAAACGTTCATGAATGAAGTTAAAGAAACAAAACGTTTTACATTTATAAGGACAATACTAAATGTCATACATCGACATATTGCGTTTTAGAATCAAACTTAACTTCTAAAAAATATATATCTATCTGCGTAAAAGAGTGAAATGCCCCCCGAGTCCGTGCGTCGTTTGCATGAATGGCTAGCTTTAATGCTAACTACGACATGCTCGTTGGACTCTGGCTTACAAAATTCCGCCGAAAACTTACCCGTTCTTTAAATCAATCTCCATTAGCTTCCCATAGCCGCTGAAAAACCGCTGAATATCTTTTTCGCGGACATGATAGCTTAGTCGTCCGATATAAACTCGAGGCATTGTGATTCGCCTAGAGTGACTGTTCTTCACTACTGCTCCGAAATTGCTGAATGCTACTGCCGTTAGCTCTCCGCCAGCAACCGGTCGGCTGTTTCGCCAAACCCAGCCAATAAGCGTGAAGCTAACGATGATCAATTTCCGGAACAGAACTCCAAATTAAAAGCTACCGTTTATCACAAAACCGCAGACATTACGCGCACGAGAGGAAAATACTAGTTAAATCCTATGTAAAATCTGCCCTAGTCATTTCCAACTAGAGGCATTTTGTAACTGTAGTTTGCAGTGGGTACATACAGAGATCATCTTAACTAATTCAAAAAAGGGTACAATTTTACTTGTAAAAAAAAAAACAAAGAAAAAGAAAACACCCGCAGTCACAAAAACTAGGTAGTTAAAAAACACATGCAACTAAACAGTAAATTGTTGGAATAGTAAAGTCTCTATTGCAATAAAGTTGAATTAGAAAAATTCCCGTTAGCAGCCAGACACAGAACCAGCCTTACTGATCAGTTTATTCACTCCGTTGGTATTACAATTTCTGATGCATATGGTCCACAGCTGCGTGACGGAATATCTCTATCATTTATAATTTCTGTTTAAAGCCTCTGTGTTGGCCTCAGTGGCGTGTCTAGAAAATTTTTGTTGGGGGGGCCAGGTAGGGGCACAGATTTGGAGAAGGGTGGCAGATGTAATTGGCAGATAATGTTTTTAAAAAAAAAATCTACCAACCCTTAACCATAATTCAATAATCCTATAAACCTAATAACCGAATGCACTTTTAACTCTTATTAGAATGAGATTTTAACCACTACGGTGCAAAGTTTTTAGATACTGCGTTGATAAAGTACAAGAGATACAATCAGTGCTTTGTCAGTGTTTACTCAGCATTCAAGGACAGCAATATTTGCATAGTATTTTTACTGACATATACTGCACATATGTTTTGGGCAAAAACATTTTTGAATATTAAAATACGAACATTTGTAGCAAACAATTGACAAATTAGCCATTCCAATGCAAAACTTTCTCTGCCTGTTAAAAAAAGAAGATAATCTTCTCACAAACTGGTGTTTGATTTTGAAACAGGAAAAAAGTGGAGAAACAACTGAAAAGACTAATATTTGAATAAAACCTGAAAGCAAGTAAATACTTTCTATGCTGCCTTATGGTAAACTTTGGTAATATTGATAAAGAACAACACTGGCTGATGATGAAATACATTCAGCTGGCATGGTGACACTGCCAGTATAACCTGCAGGGCTGGACTGGGACAGAAAATCGGGCATTTTGACTACAGACCGACCCACCAGGTATTAAAGCCATAAAGCCTTTGAATGAAAACAAACCCTGTTGTGACAGTGATGTACAGTCTTTTTGGTATATGTATGATTTCTATACATTTTACGTCAGATAAAAACTTTGGTTGTAAGATTTAGATAATTATTTAATAAAAGCTAGATATTTTAAATGAGAATAGGAAAGAAAAGTATTTCTTTGTGCCCCCTTTCCCTGTTAATGCCCTACCTGGCCCCCTGGCAAAACTTTGCTAGACCCGCCCCTGCACAGTTACCAGCTGTCAGCTACATAAAAAAGGATCCTGGTGGGTGGTCTTCACGTTTCCCTCTCACCAGATATCCAAACCGACATCATGACCAGCAGCTTTACAGCTGTGGCTCCAGCAAACATCAGCTGATACTAGAAATTAATATTAAATAAATTCTAACAACAGCCGATCAAGCTTAAACGTGCTGCTGTTGTTTAGCGTGACATCTGCTGGTTTCGTCTTTCTGGCGCAAAGTGGGCGATAAACAAACAAGAGAGAAAAGCCGATCAGCTGATCATCGATCAGTTTCATGATTGAAGTAGCAACAGGAGAGGGAGGATGAGAGAAGAGGCAGCTGTGCAGCGTAAAGACAGAATAAATCCAGCTTTGTGTCTTTTTCCATTCTAGCTGAAGTTCGGGACAAACTGCGTCTCTTCTCAGCTCAATACGAAACGTGTAATATTTTCTCTGAATGAGGGACCATTCCATTTTTTTAAGGAGCCGTTGGCAACTCTACTAACTAACCTTATGAATAAAATAAAGTTCACTATCAGTAACATCATAGCAACCGAACAGCTGTATAAAAACTCCAAGCTGGCTAGAACGCAGTATGAGTTATTGCAACTGACAGTAAAAAGTCAGCAACATGAAAATAAACTCCACCTAAACTTAGTTCATATCTGACCCAGATAGACTGCAGGTCATAACTTCTTACCTGAAGTTCAGTTCACCTGACACTCGGACTGGCGGCTGCTTCGGGGCTCTCCTCCTGCCTCCCCTTCCCTCATCCACCTGCTGCCTCTGTGGAAGCCCCGCCATAGCCACCACCAAACAACGGAGTTATTTCTACACATCGACCTGCATCTGGCCAATCCACCACCTCTCATTGTTCATGCCCTTACAAAAATAAATAAAAAATAAGTCAAATAAGCCCGATGGCCAGTCCAGCTATGTTAACCTGCAACCAAATCTGCAGCTCCATACAGCAATGTTACGACTTAGATTACATCTTATAACTCATAACTCTTATGTTAGCTGCCCTCTGTAGCATACTGTCTGAAATATTCCACGGCTGCAATAATTCTTTAAGTGTTATTTTTTCCTTGGTATTCTAATTTCGCCGAAGTTTACTAAACTCAACAAACTTAATATTACTTACCGGGACATTTATTCTGTCCTCATTTTCTTTCACCGAAAAATTGTTTCCTGCAGTGACGTCTTTCGTGCTTGGCTCTCCTACCTTTGCTAACGTGATGCACATAGCGCAGAAGCCGATGCTGCATTCACTTACACTCGGATATCTGAGCGTCACCGTGAAAACATAATCGGACATTTGATATTTGATTGAATTTTATTGTTTTGCCTTTGGGGTGGCACCTGGGGTGGCCAGTCTGGTTGGGGGGGTGGCCTGTGCCCCCCCAGGCCACCCCGCTGGACACGCCATTGGTTGGCCTTCCATGTGGATGCCCAGGTAGTCATAGTCCTCCACCACATCAGTAGCCTGTCCCAGGATACACACGGTTCGTGTCCTTCTGAAAGTCAAGTCACCAACTTCTTTGGTCTTATTCACATTCAGAAGTCAATACTTTCTCAATGACCACTCCACAAAACCATTAACCTCTGCTCCTCATCACTTAAACATCCAGCTACTGCAGAATCTGAGTATTTCTTTAGGCGACATCACCTGGAGTTGCACTGATTGAAAGTCCGAGTTGTACAAAGTGAAGCAGAACTGAGACAGCATAGCCTCAATGGTTTGATAACTATTGGATAAATTGGCCAACTATATCTATAGCATCCATATTCTGACTCCAAATGATAGTATAAGTGCAAAGTTTGTGAATTTAAATTAAACATTCATGGTTTGGCTGTATAAAATTGTTGAAACACATTTAGAATATGGCAAGTGGTAGAGATTAATGAGTGCTTATCTGATAGGCTATGTGCTTAAGTCTGGCTGGTTATGACAGATTTATGTGACTTATACATCAGTGATTGATGCATTTGCCTGCATACTGGTAGTTTAAGCACAGCTAAAAACAAAAAACAATTATATAATATAGTGACATTTGGGCCTGCAGAGGAAACCTAACTATGGCACCAACCTGACATATTATCCTGCAGTCAGGTTCAAAATAAATCTGCAACTCGACATGTAATCACCAAACTCAAGGACATTGTCTTCAGTTACCATGGTTATCAGCTGCTCATGTTTTAACCTTGTGGGTCTGTGTTTGTATCATTACAGCAAACCGTAGGCCTCACAAGGACTGTCAATCACATCTGAGCAAGTCACACAAATAAGACTTAAATATTTTAATGGGACTTGAAACAATGGCCATATTTAGAAATGGGAGGGGGCCATAATGACGAGAGCCAAGGCCGTTCACTGATCATTACGACCTTTTTCCATTGTGACAGTGAAAACATGACGTCATTATCATGACTGACAATTACTAAACGGGCACCGTCATTAATGCAAGCAGAGAAAGTAGTGGAGAGAGAGAGAGTAGAATATTTTATTTTTGTAAAAACCAGGTTTTAAAATGATTCCAGCGAGACCTTTATATTCACATTCCTCTCAAAACAATTAGATTGACACTCCTTGATAGACTCTGTTAACCACACTGCAAAATAGGAACCTGAAGGAGGAAACGATCTGAGGTGCCTGCTCAGAAGTTGTAGTTTATTATTACTTTATTATTTTAGTGACTGGCATTAGCTCATGAATCCTGCTCATCGGAGAAAAAAAAAAAAAAAAAAAAAAAAAAGAGAAAAATTGAATCTTTATTTTCAAATTGACTTCATCAAACCTCAAGTGGCTGACAAAATGTTCTAATCAAATAGGTACACAAACTGCTCATCAGTGCCACAAAAGCACTCACAAACATACTGTATAATAATTTCTACTCATCTCATAAACAGCCTCCTTTATTAGAGTACTCTTAATGTTGCTCTCCCCTTCATTAGCCCCCAAGTCTTCTAGTTTTGTGTCTCCTGCTACAAAATGATCAAAAGCAGGTCCTGTGTTAGGAGCCTCACACACTAGTTTCAGTGACATGTTCCTGTATGTACTCCAGCCCGGTGACTGATTTGTCTCTATAAGCTTGAGTAGAAAATCCTGGACTGACAGTTTTTTGTATATATCATTTAGGACCAGACCAGAAACAAGAACACACCCTTTAGTTGAGTTCAAGAAAAAAAGAAAAAAACCCAGAAGTGACCAAGTCAACAATTCGTTGGTTCTGTTACTGTAGATGAACTTAGCTTATCTACAATTTGGCTAATCTGAAGAAATATTAACGTCTGGCGCATGTAAAGTGGAAAAATAAACAAAAACTAAACTTCAAGCTGTGTTAAATCAAGGGTTTTTTGGAGGAATCAAGAATCACAGCAAATAGGAAACAGGAAAAAAAAAAACCCTAAGAGCTGGAGGGTCCATCAACCAAACAAATCAAATGCATCCAGCAGTGTATGTGTCAAACATCTGTTGCTTATCAGGTGCCTGAACCCTATCTTTCATCTTTAGACACTCTCACTCCCTGTCAGGTCAGGCCATGACACAACCAAAATGACAGCCAAACCCTCCCGCAGTTCAATTCAGAGAGTCCTTTTAGCAGATCAAGCGGGCGCCCGACCCCAGCTTCGGCCCTTCTGATGGGGAAAGATTGGACCGTGAGAAGAGGTGGGGGAAGCCCAGTTTTAATGGCCTTTAGTTAGCTTTGGCGCGGAGCTGCGCCCTCTTGCCCGTCACAGCCTGGAAACCGGTCTTGATACTGGCGACGGAGCAGCGGGAGTGGCACGTCTCACACTGCAGGAAATAGAGACGAGTGTCCTTCTGCAGGATGGTCTCCGGTGAGCGGCAGGTGTGACACGTCACATATTCCTCTGCAGGGGTGAGAACAGTCCACTCAACATTACTGTTCACAAGCAGGGGCTGTTTAATTTTACCCCCATCAATGTAACTTCACTGTAAAGAACACGTCGTTCCTACTTACTGATATATCTTCTCAACACATTTTCTATCTGTTTCTGTTGAAATCTGCCTTTGATCACAAGCTGGTTATTTCCGTCAATGGAGCCGCTGTTGACAGAGAAAAACGCTAATTAAACTTTTACTTAAAGTGAACACACAAAAACAAAACGTGCCACAAACTTAGCTTGAGAACTGACATCACTTAAAATACAAAAAGCGTACCTCGTTCCCAGCTCAGCCAATAGAAAAGCGAGGAGATGTTTAGGCTGACGATGCAACCTGTGATTAATCGCATGAAAAAAGAAAAAAAAGAAATCAGTTTGTGGATTACACATACTACAAGTGTCACTGAAATGCGTCTGTCAGTAAATATAAAAAGCTACACGAGGCTCACAGTTTGCAGATGTCTGTGAAATTGACAAAGGAGGTTTTCTTGGTTCCCACTCGGACCACCTGGGGAGGCTTCATCACAAACTTCCTCTTCTCCCCAGCCACCATGTCGGGGTTCTTCTCCCTCATGATGTTGAAGACTCTGTTCAGGAGCTGGAATAGAGACGATACTGTGACTTTGTTTTGTTTTTGTCTATGTTCATAAAGTTTTCAACACAGAATATAAAAGGACAGAAATTGAGAGCCCTGTGGGATCAGCTGAGGATAAAAATAAATAAAAAAGGAAAGCAGTGTGTAAATCTGTGCTTTTTATAAACACTGTTCTCAGACCGGTAAATCCAACTTTGTAATTTTACAAACCGTTTCACTCATTTCCTCATAGAACAATAAGTGGGGGATTTTAACAACTCTATTCAAAAAGTACATTTAATGCCGTTAAATATTCAGTGCAAAACTTCAACATAAATGTAGATCAAAGCACCAAATTAGTGGACACTAACTTGGTGCTTTGTCCTACATTATCAGGCCATATTTCACTTTGTTGCAATCCTGACTAAGGAATTTTCATTTTCTGACGTGAACCTTTGAAAGTAAACAAATACCAAAATGAACACATTCATAAAGAATGTGGTCCAGTGTTTCACTATCTGTTTGACAAAATAAACAGGAAATATTAAATGTTGAACTGCTGTCTTAGAAAATCATTGCAATCAAAAAAATAATTTATCATTTTGAAGTGTTTCTTTTGCCTCTTAGGAAGGTTGGCAGGGATAGGTATCCGTTTATAACCCCGCCAGTCTCAGGTAATGTTTCATCAGATTTTTTAACCCTGCTAGTCTCAGGTAATGTTTCATCAGACTTTCCTTTTGGACACAGGCTCTATTCAGGCAGAAACGGTTTGCAAAGTAATTCCAGTTTAACAAATCTGTGGGGACGGAGCTCACAAAACCAAATGGGCTGAGGTCTTAATATCAGGACATTTATTAATGAGAGAGAGAGAAATACAACAATCTATTATGTCTATGTGTACACAGCCTCACACAGTACAAAACAACCGAAAACAGTCTAATATTTATCCCACTTTACAGGAAATAACTTCACAAACAACTGTGATAACTCTTTTTCTGCCTTTCCTGAATTGTTTCTAACTTTCTCATTTCACGTATCATCCTACCTCGTCGTAGGTGTAGTCTCTTTCCGAACCAGCCCAGGCCGGTCCTGTGGAAGAGCTGAAGGAGATCCCATCACCATTCTTGCCATCATCATCATCCACTGCTGGGAGAAGAAAAAGAAAAATGACATTATGGGTCAAACATTATGATCCATGTCCCTTTTTTCGGTCCCTAGTTTCAAAACCATGTGATTTCATCGTACCGTCGTCTTTATCACCGGAGTCGTTTTCATCAAAATCTACTTTCTTTGGCTTCTTCTTTTTGTTAGGGAGCATCAGATCCAGGTTGTCCTCCTCCATAGCTTCCGTCTGCTCGCCTTCAATTTTCAGCTCCTGGTTTGGACAAGCGAGAAGTGAAACTCAGCACGTGAAAGTTATTGGTAAGCCAATCAAAATCAGTAGAAGCAAAAAGTTAAAAGTAATGCAAAATCAGCAAATGTTTAATCAATGGCTGACCTTCAATCCCTCCTCCATATCATTTTCAAACACTTTCTTGGGTTTCTTCTTCTTTTTCTTCTGGTTGAAGAAGTTTAGGTCGTTCAAGTCATCCGACGGCTCTGGAAAAAAAGAAAAAAAAAACCCTCCTCGAGCTCATAACTCTACACAACATAGTTGCGAACTGATACCGCACCTTAAATAGATCTAACCTTTCTTCCTGCCTTCATCTTCATCTAGATCCACCTCCTTGTCATCTCCAGCCTCTGGTTCTGCCTCCTTTGTCTCCACCTCCTTAGCTTCTTCTCCCCCCGTCCCTTCTCCTCCGTCCTCCTCCAGCATGAAGGGCTTCTTCTTCTTCTTTTTCTTCTTAGTCATGTTGGGATCGAAAATCATCTGAAAAAAAGAGTGAAGGAAAAAAATCAAATTAAAATAAATATTGAAATGCTGTCCAGCTTCATTTAGTACAGACACTTTATGGCTGCTTTAAATATACATAACATTGACTAATCCAGCATAAGTACAATTACCAGTGAGAATTACAAGATATATATATTTATGAAAGTCATGTTTCATCAGATTTTTCTTTTGAGTGGCAGTGGGAGTTTGTTTGAACATTTTACGCTTGTGAAATTTAGTTTTCAGTTATGAAAACTGGACTGTGGAAAGACGCTATTTTTTCCATTTTAGGCCAAAAAAAAGTAACATGAAGTCATATCAAGGATTGAACAAAGAAAACAACTTAACAGATAACAAAATGTTGCATATCATCTTTACAGACAGGGGCTGGACTCTTGAGTTGATCCAGTGTACACTGAGTGTGTCAGTACACTATTAAGAAACCCTACCTACTGCTGTAGGTTTCTTAATAAGGCTTGAGGTAAAGTAACCCTCCAGAATTTTTAACTAACATATTGCACAGACTGCCCCCATTCAGTTAGAAAAATAATAATAAAAATGTCGTACTATTAACATTAAGCAGCGGTAATTCTGGTATTTTGGTTTTATTTTACAGCCAGAGGAGCTGTCCTTAAGGACAAACCGAGGTACAGATAGCTTTTGGTCTCCAGCAGAAAACGTTAACAGTTAGCTCCGCAGCTCTGGTAACGGGAAGCTAAGGCTACATAGCTAGCTTCCACTCTTCTCTGAGAGTCCGGCGGAAGCTTCGACAGCTCGAATTGATGAGCCACGCTCAGAATATATAACGTATATGCTCCGATAAATAGCTGTATATCAATATACTTGATGACTTTCTTGATATTCCGGCTGGCTCGGGCCGTGCTAGCCCGACTGCAGCAGCCATGTGAGCGCTACTGCGGACAGAAAGGGAGGGAGCAGGAGAGTCGAGGCCCAAAGTCATCCCCAGCACCGATATGCGCCTGAAACTCAACGAATTCCGTCCAGCAGTTCTTCACACCTACACGGATTAAACAGCATCTGACTCGGAGTGCCTTACCTCGTCTCCTGACATGTTTGCGTGCTGAACAATGAAATAAAAATGCCTCTTCTTTCTTCTTCGATCAGTCCCACACCGCTTCGCCCAAAATTTCTTGCATCAGCGTATGACTACAGTGCGCAAGCGTGAAGTCGCCAAATCCCGACGTACTCGTGGTGACACCCCTTTCTGCGCTTGCGCATTGACAGTTTTTAAGGAACGTTCAAGATCGTGACTCAGAAATAATAAACTGGTGCTAAATATGCACGTTGTCGTTTTTATATAGTTCATTTTTTACAATTATAATAGTAAAAACTTTCATTTGTCAACAACAAACTAGTCATTATAACATTACGATAGAAAATAATATTTAAGTAAAAAAAGGACAGAACATCAGCGAGAATAGTACCAGAAAAAAGGAAAGAAAATCAACTTAAATACAATTAAATAATACAGTAAAAATAAACTTGCAAAACAAATTAAAGAATTGTAAACAGCATTTCCTACATTATCAGGCCATATTTCACTTTGTTGCAATCCTGACTAAGGAATTTTCATTTTCTGACGTAAAGTCAGAAAGTAAACAAATACCAAAATGAACACATTCATAAAGAATGTGGTCCAGTGTTTCACTATGGGAACGGGAAATATTAAATGTTAAATTGCCGTCTTAGAAAATCATTGCAATCAAAAAAACAATTTATCATTTTGAAGTGTGTTTCTTTTGCCTCTTAGGAAGGTTGGCAGGAGGTATCTGTTTATAACCCTGCCAGTCACAGGTAATCTTTCATCAGATTTTCCTTTTGAGTGGCAGTGGGAGTTTGTTTGAACATTTCCTCTTGTCAAATTTAGACAACTGATATAAAGCATAGGTAAACTTGGCTATAACACCTGCTATCAACACTGTATAGTCGATTCTTTCTTTACAACCTGGAGCATATCTTGTATTATGTATTTCCCCTTCTGATCTCATAATGATTGTCATAAAGTCACAATGACTGTATACAGCCACTGATTATTATGTAAATATTTGCCGCTATGTAGCTAATGTGCTTTATCCAGAATAATAGTTGTACTTTAAGGGAAAATCATTGAGATCTGATAAACAGGCACCATTTTTCAAAACTACAAAAGATCAGTGAAACGGCAAATTGATTTTCCCTTTAGTTAAACTTTGTTGAATGAATATAAAAGCTGCAAATTTTAAGATTTAGTGCCTTTGGAACAGACCAGTTACTTCTCTCGTCTTTGTCTTTAAATCTCCTTTAAAAAGATTTTGTTAATATTTGTTTTTTGGTGTTATTGTGATGCAGAAAGAAAAGAAAAAAGCTCCAGCTACACAACCCGGAACAAGATGCTGATGTGGTGGAGGACTATAAGTACCTGGGAGTCCACATGAACAGCTGAAGAGAAGATCAGCACAGATCTCAGTTTCCAAAGGAAGCTGAGATGCTGCAATATGCGATGCGACATCATGGAGATTTTCATCACGTAGCTGTGACGAGCACAGTGGACTTTACTTTGTTCTGCTGGGGGAGCTGGCGACACCAAAAGAATGAGCAAACTGATCAGGAAGGCTGGCTCAGTGACTGGCCATCCTCTCCTATACTTACCGAACGGCCGCTCCCTCAAGAGACAGATACAGGAAATATTTCATGCCACCACAAGATATCTGAATGGTAGTAAGGCATCTGCCAGAAAATAATAAATTATTATTGTTCATTTTGTCTGTTAAAAAAGATTCTGTCTTCATTGTTTTATTTATGGAGTGATTTTAGAAATACTCTGTAACAAAGCTTTAGTTACCAATTTAATATTAAACTAAAAGTGTACTTGCTGAGGTTTTTCTTCACTCACACTTTGTTTCTTTCTCTGGTGATCTGCTTAACTTAGTCATTTGACCAAAAACCAAAACAAAACGCATGAACAGACAATGCTTCCACCACAATGAAAGAATTGAAAACCATTTAATGATTCGCAAATAATATTCTCATCTGGATAAATAAAACATAGAAATGCAAACATGCTTATCCATTTGTCCTCGTGTTACGTTTTCTATGTAAAAAATGTACATCATGTTGCTGAAAAACTAAAGGAATTCAACTCTTTTAAACTCTGAAATGCATGTGTTGCAGATTGGCTATAATCTAATCTTTTATAAACCACCATCTCCCTCTGGATGCAGTTAATAAGGTGTGACAATAGTTTAATATTACTAGTTTCTTTTTTTTTCCTTTTTCTTTTTAACATACATTTTGAAATGAAAACCTTTATGAGTGGGACACAGACAGAGGAGGATGAAAGTGGTAGGTTAAACATCTCTCTTACTAGCCCTGCGGTGTGACCTGTGTCGTGATTTCCCCACCGTTGCATGCTTCACGCAGCATCAACCAAAGCGCTCAATGGCAGCAGTAATGCAGTGTACTTAAAAAAACAAAACAAACAAAAAAACCAAAACACACAGTCAGCTGGGATATTTACACCAAAGAACGAGAACCACTGATGGGGTTGGGAGGGTAAGGGGAGAGGCAAAGAAGGAGCGAGCGGCAGGAGGTCGAAGAACCCAACCTGAAATGAAAGAAGAGGTTTGGATTCTGGCAAACACACACAGCTCAAAGCTTCTTCAGCCAGCACACACTCAGCTGCACCTCCATTTCCAGAGCAGTTAACAAGACGAGGAAGCAACGGGTTATTTTGTCAAGGAAAACAAAAAAACAAACAAACAAAAACACACAAAAAAAAAATTGCCACAAATAGGTAAACGGGAGAGTGAGAAATCGATTTTTTAAGCATTAATCATCCTTGAAAATCCCCCCCAAAATCATCCAGCGATGTTAACAATGACAACAGCTTGGTGAATAACTCCATCTACTGCACCATCCAGCTTATAACACCACCCTGCAACATGAAATCTGTGGCCACCAGCATGGCACACGACAAGGACCACAAAGTGCTGCATTAAAGTTGAGGGTAAAAATATTAGGTGACTTTGTCCAGTATAGCAGACCCTCACGGACTCATTTGTACTGAGCACCTTGGGGGTCTCTAAAGGGGAAAAGGAAAAGAAAGACTACAGCATTGTTGCTTTTTTTGTTTTGTAGTGTTACACATAAAGTAGACAGTCCACTCTTCTCAGACACACAGAAACACTCAGACACAACATCCCATCAGTCCATTCGTTTCCCCCTTGTTCCTTTCCTCTCCGATGCAGGTGTGATGTGGCGGATGCTGCATTTACATGGCTTCCATCGCCCAGCGCTGCAGGTCCTCCATGTCGTCCTCGTCCTCCTCTTTCCTGGCTGTGGGAGGGAGGACAGAAATAAAAGATGTGATCTGAGGATCCTATCGAGATCTCATCAAATCCTCATTCAGCATTAATCACTTCTAGGCAGTACTATTGTAATTCATTATTACCCAATACTGCTGCAAGAACACTGACGGGGACTAGAAAGAGACAACACATTTCTCCCATACTGGCTTATCTCCACTGGCTTCCTGATAAATCCAGGATTGAATTTAAAATCTTCTCCTCATGTTCAAGGTCTTGTATAATAATTCCATTCGAGCACTTTGCTCTGAGACACTATCTCTACTTTTAATATTAGGCTTAAAACTTTCTTTTTGATAATGCATACAGTTAGGGCTGGATAAGCTAACTATGAAACCTTTGGGGCAAGTGCCTGCTCATAAGGGATCATCTGATTGAGGGTTTTTTTCTTTATTATAGCAGCACCTTTAGCTGACGATAAAGATAAAGATCCTATGAAATAAAGCTCCTTGAGGAAACTGCTGTTGTGATTCGGTGCTATATAACTAAAAATAAAACTATAGCAGTCACATCACTGAAAGTTAGTAATTAACAGTTTGTACATCCTGCGAACAGCGTAAAAATGCAATGCAAATGGTTACACCCCAGAGTTCTTACCAGGTCTGGAAGGTAATGAAGTCGAAGGCACATTGGGGAGAGGGGCGGTCTCTGGTCCACCGATCTCGAGCAGATTTTTGTCCAGCTCTTCCTGTTCCAGCTCGTCCAGCTCGGCAAGCAGCTCATCCTGAGAAGCAAAGAAATTCACCCCAAGGATGAAGACCAGCAACAACGTATTCATACCAGCAAAAGCAAAAAGATAATAACTAATAATTAGACTCGGCTATACTGGGTTAACCCAACATCATTATCAGTGCAACATTCATATGCCAAACACAGGATAATAGCAACTGTCTAAGAGATAAGTAATGATATTTCTGAGTCAGGCGTATGAAAACATGCTTATGTCATGTACAGTAAAATCCCATCATCATTAAGAAGGAAGCCTTAGATAAGCAAAGATGCAAAAGACAGAATGATTTCATTCTGATGGACTGCTGCCCCAGTCCTGTGCTCCAATCAAGCTCCAGATGATTACAGAAGCTGTCTTAAAAAAATTGTTAATTTCATGTATCTCAGGCTTCTTGTTCGGCTCCACACACAGGTGCTTGCTTGTTTCTGGCTTAGTAACTTGTTTTGTTTCCATCTGGGACACTTGCCTCACCCTGACGATTGTGGCAGGTTTAGTAGAAACTGCACCATGCATAGACTACTCTGTGTACAAACAACAGATCTCGAGGTGGTACCAAAGGTTGAGGTTTTTTTTTCTTTTAAATGAGGGTGTAGTCGTTTTTTGTCTCCTGTGCTGTTTTGTGAAAAAAGACATTAAAAAAATGTTTAAAAAGAATCTATTAAAACCTTTTAGGTGCAACTCCACCTTCTCCATCCTGGTTAAAGCACACTTTAACGTGCCTACAAGCCAGGGTCATAACAGTGTGTATCTGCAGTTATCAATACGTTGCTGTGGATGCAAGTACAGATTAACCCTCCTGCACCATTTCATTTTTTTTGATTTAAGCTTAGAATTGAGTCTTTTTTCTTTAATCATCACTACCCGTTTTATTTGGGTACGCTCTCAATTTATGTATTTTTGGTAATAAAATCTGTGAATAAAATGAGGCACTTGCACACTTAGAATCAGATATACCACACAAATGTAAACATAAAACAGCTGAAGAGCTTCACCTACCTCATCAAACTCCTCACCAAAGCCCACAGGTTTAGAGATGGCGTCAGAGATTTCTTGGGCCAGTTCCTGCTGCTCTGTAATGTCCTGCATCAGTTCATCCACTTTGTCAATGTCC